TCTAAAATGCCTACAGCTTTCCAAAATAGAGGAAATAATTGCACTGATGTAATATTTATAGTTGCAAAGTTTGCAAAACTGTATTTGAATGGATTTACAACACTTCTTATTAAAAAAAGTAATACATGAGAAGCAAGCTTGTCTGCCTGTACCAATGTTGCAAAATTAACACTAGGATCACCTAAATCAACATAACCAATTAACTCTCCAGAATGTTTGTCCCAAACAAGATTTTCTTGAATTTTCATTTCATCAAGAACTAGGACAATAAATTTTTCTTGAGCTGAAAAATCTTTGATCTTATCTTTTAATTCTGTGATTATATTTTTATTAAATCCTAATTTTGGTTTCACATAATTTTTATAGTCACGTAGTCGCCTACGACTTGGTAAAATTAAAAAACCAGAATTATTTTTATCATTTAATCTTAGTGCTTCATAAGCAGCTGGTGATTTTGCAGCCAATCCCAAACAGTAACGTATTATTGCTGGATGATAACGAGTTCCTTGTTTTGAGCTTTTTAAATATTTTTGCTGCTCCTCCCAAAACAGGTTCATAAATGGAGAAATCTTGCTTTTATCAACTCCTGACATTATTTTAACTAAATCACTTTCAGTATCTTTACTTATAGTTAGTGATGAATTTTCAATTTCTTGCTTCATCAAAGCTAATTCCATTTTTAATTCTTTATTTTCCAGGCGAACACTCTGTAATGTAAGCTTCAGACGATCTGGAGATGTAAATTTAATTGGTGCATTTAATTTAGCAGGGATACAAGCATTAGTAATATTTTTTTTCAAACTTATGATTTCACTTTTTTCAATGCTTTTGCATTGAGAACATGATAACATCAAATCAATCAGCATAATACATGACTGAGATCGAAAATACTCTGTCTGATTCAGTGGAAACTCAGTCCTAGATGAAAATAAATCGAACTTTTTAGAAATACAATGTTTAATATAAAGATTTGATTTTAAAGAAAATATATTAGTTATTCCAGAGCAAAGGCTAAAAGAAGTAACAACAGAAATAAGATTTGAAGCTGAAATATTTCGCATTGATCTTCTGTATTTTGTATATATTGAGTGATCATCTGGAATGAGCCAAGAATATACACGAATGGCAAAAGCAAGACTGTCATCAACATATATTTCATATTGAGGACATAGGTGAATTGTGTCATAAAGTTTAAATTCTGCCACAACAAGACTCACACTCACTGTCCACTCACAAATCTTTAACTTGCTAATACGATTTGTAAATTCTTCATATGATTTATATATAGGCTTGAAGGTAATTATATTATTTGAATTCATTGAAGCATCTCTTTTAGCAATGATAGAAGAAGCAGATTCTCTTTGTACAGGAATCGATGACATAAAACCTTTTTTCGGTAAGCACATAGTCGGTAATGATCCAGGTTTTAGTGACTTTCTGTTATTGTTATGAAGTATCATTTCTGGAAGATAATGCTTTTCACAAATAAACAGAGATTTACTTTCTATTTGAGCTTTCAAATTACAATCTTCAATACGATCTTTAAGTATAATGGCAATTAGATTTTTCCTCCAAGAAGTATTAAAACTATCGCTAGATGCAGGAATTTTAAATATTGAAACTCCCTTATGCCTCCTAGAAGTACTGCACCCATAAATAGAACAATTAGCACCAGGCATTTAATTAATTCGATGAAGAAGATGTATTTTAACAAGCAATTCATAGACAAACAATCGACGAAAATAAACTTTGTGCACTCTGCGTGGGACTGGACACTAAAAAAAGGCAAACAAAGAGTTGATCAAAGAAATACCGCTAGTGGCCAGACTATCTATTTCTTATGACTCTGTGTTAATGCATGGTTTTTGTATCGACGCCATTTAAAAATTTGTAGACCCGATACTAAATTTATGCAAATGCAATGCTTTATTGCAGAAGTTGCGGAAAGTCTGTTCAAAGTAACATCATCTCGTGGCAGACCATCTTTAGATAATACTGCACAACTTCCTAAAAAGTGTGCTGGGGTTCAAGGAAATCCTTCCAACGATATAAAAAAGGATGGCTTTGATCATATGCCAAGTTACAATGAAAAAGGACAGAGGTATTTGTCCTGTAAGTCAAGACTTTCATATATAAGTTGTAAAAAATGTAATGCATGGCTTTGTTTTAAGAAAAAAAGAAACTATTTTGAAGTTTTTCATTCATAATCTTTTTATGAATGTGGTAATATGTTTAGTTTATATGTAGTATGTATTATGTTTAATATAAAATTTTTTATAAATAATTACCCGTTGTATCATATCTGATACAACTCAAAAAAGTGCCTAGTCATAATTTTTTTGGTCTCAAATTTTTTTCTGCAATCAACTTATGCCATAAAGGTTACTTGTATTTAAATTTTTTTTGAGTCTTTTAAACTGCTTTGGGTATTTTAGGGTTAATCAAGTGTGTTTCATGATAACTGGAGTAATAAAGAATTTATACACAAAAATCACATCTTTTTGAATAAAAATAAAGATAATGCAAAGTTTTATTTAGTTTTCTCAAAACTATGTGTTGTTGACTAATCCTCTTTTAGAATGAGCTGATTTAATTAGCAAAAGGCCACAAAATTTTCTGTCGCTCTTCCCTTCCCCCCAAATTAAGGGGTACAGGTAGCCTATCCTCGGCACTGTGTTTTAGGCTTTGTTTTCGGTATTACTGATCTCGCTTAGGACTCGTTTTTTACGGACTTACTAAATCGCGGTGCCCGAAAAAAACGTCCGCTTTAAGTATAGTTTTTTTTTTGATTCGTCAAAAAAAAAAAAAGCACAGTATGACTCGATCGAGGATCACTAGTCTCTACCGCTGCAGTACACAGTATTAACCAATAAAACACATTGTTAGCATGTAATAATTTTTTTTACGGAGTGAAGGACTTATAAGTACGCATGGCAATAGGGAGGATAGAGTGTGCTCAAATTTCAAAATTTTAGGCGTTTATCCTTTATGGACTAAGTGTTATATAATTCGAATTTTAACTACATTTAAATGGGAGCCATTGCAATCATTCTTTCCACGCAGAAAAAATATAAATTGTGAAATTTCCATTTATCTTAATCTAAATTTCCATTTCATTTCATGTTATAAAATTCTGAAAATCTTACAAAATATCTTACAGAAAAAAAAATCTATTTTGTCTTAAATTTGTTGCTTAAAATTATGCAAATAATCTTCCTTTTTTTAGCCGTTTGATAATTTGCCTGTTTGAAAGCTTGTCGTTTAATAAATTTTCAATAAATACATACTACATATAAATTTAATTAAAAAGTCATAAAATACATACATATATATTAATGCATACACTATTTCTATATTATAGTTTAATAAGATATATTCATTTAGTGATAATAACAACTTTTTTTTTTCTACTTTGATAAATAATAAGTATTTAAAGTCTGTTGTAATAAACTCTAATTGTAATAAGAGTCTTTTAGATTCTGTTTTAAAATTTAAAAAGGAGTAGTGCTCTTAATGATCATTAAAAACTTTAATAAAATCTTTTATTGAGGGTCGCATGTGCCTTTGTCCGTGTGCCTAGGTAAAATGTATCTGTGGTACATTTTACCTAGAGCTTCTTGGTTCTGAAACTAGCGCTCTAATTACTACGCTACAAATGTCCATTTGTGATAATTACTGTCTTATCACAGATAAGTCCTTACGTTCTTATCTGTGATAAGATCGTATTGAGCACCTAAATAACTACAAAAAAAAAAAAAAAAAAGAATTTTGTGTTATAGTCTTCTGGAGTTGTTTTTTTTTACTTTTATTAGTTACATTAATCTGTAAAAATTCATTAAAACATTCAATTATACGATTTAGTGGGCAAAAAACTTAATATAATACTTTTAATTAATTTTATATTTCATTAGCTAAAACTATCTTTATTATTATTCGTACTTAAACCTCTTAACAAACCGCAACCATTCGTTTTCATAAACCGCAACCATTCGTTTTCATAAAAATGAACACTTTTTGTATACTAATGAGCGGAAAACGAGAGTTAAACGGAAATATACTAATGTTCTTTATTTGAAAAAAAATCCATTTTAGACTTCTTGAAAAAATTCCATTCAAAATTTTATATATTTTTTTGTTATAAAAATAAAAGCCGTTTAGTAAATGTTTTTAAATTGTATTATAATTTAACGGCACGAAGCAAACTCCAATCTCTTTAATGCTTAGGAACAAGGAAGCTTTACAAAAAGTTGCAACAGTTAAATCTTGAAAAAAAACAACATACAACCATAGAATATTACCTCCTTATCTCAAATATGAGGTTAATGAATCAAAAAAACTCACATTGTTCAAAAATTTAAAACTTTATACAACATAATCTTCTTGTTTAGAAGTCTACAACCAATATTAAAGGGCTTTTAAATTTTTCATGGTAATAATTTCCGAATAAAAAAAAAAATATATTAAATGAAAATCAAAAACAGTCTATTTACCACGAAAATATGGTTTATCAATAATATATTACCAAATTTGGTGTAGATGGACTAACATATTACAACTTATTGCTCCTTAGCTATAATTGTTACCACGTTTTTCAAAGTTCTTTTATTCGTTATAGGTTAGAACATGCGCAATCTTGGAGTTTGCTTTATGCATAAAGGTCAATTGCAAACATATTAATTTCCAACCTTCATGATAAATTATTTTAAAATTAAATTAACCGATAAAAAACAATCACTAGCAAAAAATTTTACAAAAAAGTTAAAGGCTAAATGATGTATCCAAAATGAAATTAACTAACATCTACATTGTTTTGATAAAGTTCTTGCTATACAAGCCGTTAGTTGAAGATCTATTTACACGTTATTGGTGGGTCTCTTAGTAACCGTGTCTGAGCATTTCTTTACTATTGTGTTAAACAGTGCATGCGTATATTATTAAAAAGCTTACATTATGTTGTCATTAGAATACAGGTCTCAATCGCAATCTTCATTATTAGGTTGTTAACGACCATATCCACCACCGTATCCACCACCCCCGTACCCTCCACCTCCATAACTCCCGCCTCCTCGACCCCCATATCCACCTCTACCACCGCCTCCATATCCTCTACCTCCCCCTCTACCCCCATATCCTCCCCCTCTACCTCCGTATCCGCCTCCGTATCCACCTCCTCCGCCTCCATATGAAGCTACATTGTGGTGGTTTAGATTTTGTCCACTGCTGATTAATGCAACACTACCTTCATCTTTATCTTCAACGGTTTTATCATCTTCACCATCGGCATTATCTTTACCTTCAGTTACATCTTTACCACCGCTTTGATATTCATCATCAGCGTCAGCTCCATAACTGTTTTTAGTATTTTTCTCAATACTTTGTTTGTTATTTCCACTAGCATTCCATTCTGAAGGCAAACAATGTGTTAAAACTAAAGCACCAGCTAAAACAAAAATATGTTGTATGTTCATTTAAAGATTTCACTATATATTTAAAAGTACGTATCTTATACTGTTTTATTTTGTATATATATAACAAATAATAGTAGTTGTTCTGAATAAGTAATGGTTGTTCAATGGTTTTTAGCTAAACATTAAACAAGTGATCTGATAGGTCAAATCACGTTGTGCATAAACTTGAACATTTTCGTAGTAATTAAAACGCTAACTGACGCAACAAAGACAAGTTTAATACTTGGTTGATTTTTGATTTGTTTTTATTATTATTAATAATGCTTACTATTAATGTGTGCATGTGCGCGCACACACGCGCACGCACACTTTTTAAACTTTTTAACCAATCACGAATTATTTAACAACTATAAAACAACAAAATATCTAAAATTATTTAAAATAAAATGGGTACAAACTTCTGAAATTTGTTTTATAACCAATCAATTATAAATAAGTTTAGACCAATTGCATTAGTTGTTTCAAAAACAAAATCGAAACACATTCTTCGTCTTTTTTTTTCAAAGCATTTATTTATAAAAAAGTTTGTAAAGAAATTGTTATTTTCATTTTTTGTACACAGTTGTTATTTTTTGCATTATCTTTATACATTTGTTCAACAGTTGATATTTTTTGCACTATCTTTATACATACGATTGTATAAGTAAAAACTTTCAAACTACCAAACTTTAGATGGTGGTATTTATAGTAGTTTATGCTTTTTTACTCAATCCGTTTTCAAAAAAAAAAAATTCTCAGCATCCAAAAATGCCGGTTTTAAGAGCCAATTTTTTTTTTTTAATTTTTATTTCTGATGCCCTAAGACGACCTAATGGTCTTTTAATAGAGCACCGCACCGCAGAAGAGCATTTAACCAGGAAGTTCACGCCTCTTTTCTTACTGATGGCACAATATATGCTCAGAACTCGCTTGGAACCCTAAATCTCTTGCTTCTAAAGCAAACGTTCTAACCATTGCGCCACGGCTGCTCTAGTCATTAAACATCGAGCATACCAATCACCATGCGGAAATAAAAAATTAATTTCAAACAAATTTATAATCGTAATTACTTAAAGTAAAAAAATCAAATTTACGGGAGAGACTTTAACCTGTTTTTTTTTCTAATTACAAAACAGATAGCAATGTAAGACGTTTTTGAAACACTCACTTTCAATACAAAATGAGCTTTACGACATAAACAATTATCTTATAAACAAAATCGTAATTTAAATGTTTGCTTATAAGCAACTAAAGGTCTAATAGGCTGTTTTGATATACATGAAAATAAACGTTCAAAAGAATTTGTAAATTAAAAAAAAAAAAGTATTAAAAAGAGGAACATCTGGCAGAAATGTTTTTTTTTTTTACATTTTACATTACATTTACATTTCTTGATTTTAAACTTATCTCTTTGTATAATTTGGATCCATAAGTCACATAATTGCTTTCCCAAATTATAAAATGACACTAAATGCAGGAAGCTCCTGATAAAAAAAAAAATTCAAAAAATATCTAAAGATTTATTGGTTGCAGATGTGTCTATATAATAACTTGGGCTTATACATACATATTGGGCTTATACATATTTTTTGTCATGGAATAACTCTAATTTTGCATACTATATAGAAACACAAAAATAAAAAAAACTGATTTTTCAAACCAATCAATTGTTACTAAGCCAATTGTTACTAAGACAGATGCCGATACCAATGCATAAGCTAATTGGTCGCTGCATACCCAGGAAAAAAAGTGCTATAGAATTATCTATAAACTTTTGAAACATATGGCCTATAAAATTTCTATAGAGTTCTATAGAATTTTTATCGAATCTCAGTTTATTTCTACAGAAATTTCTATAGTACTTGTTTTTCGACTTTTTTTTCTATAGAAAAAATAAGTTTTATAGCAATTTCTATAGAAATTAATTGACATTCTATAGAAATTTTATAGGAATTATATAGAATTTTTATAGGCTATATATGTTTCAAAAGTTTATAGAAATTCTATAGAACATTTTTTCCTGGGTAGGCAGCAATGCCGATGCACCACTTGTTTGAACGCAGCGTTTTGCAGTTTTTATTGTACTTTTAATAAAATCTTATAATATTGTGGAACATGACTTTTCTACAAACTTAGAAGTTATGAAGGAAAAAATTAATAATGTTAAATTTTTTAATTTTTGTTTTACGTGCCCCAAGAAGACCTAAAGGACTTTTAACCAAAAAGGCAAAACATAAGTTCAAGAGTTGCAATCATATAAAAGGTAAAATCATAAAAGTATTATAAATATGTTATAAAATATTATTACTATTAAAAATACTATTATTATTAAAACATTAAATATTGTACCTTTACCGGTACCGGTATGATTTCTAAATGTCATGATGTCCTATAATATATTTTGAGTAAAATTTTAAATCCTTTTTTTTACGCTAAATTTTCATTTAGCGTAAGACTTTAGAACTTTGAAAGAATAATTTTCTTCTCATTAAGAGAGGTAATGTAATTTAGGCGGGTCTTTGTTACAACGTTTTTTTTCTCAGGCTTTAATGTCCAATTTAGGCTCAATTTTCGGCAAAACATCGTTATATAGCATAAACATGAAAAGTTTAACTTGAAAAGTTCTATAGAATTTTCTGTAAACTTTTGAAACATATGGCCTATAGAAATTCTGTAGAATTCTATTGAATTTCTATAGAATTTCTGTTAACTTTTATAAAAATTTCTTAGGAAATTTTATTTTTTTATAGAAAAAAGTTTCTATAAAAAAATAAAATTTTAAAAAGTTTAGCAATTTCTATAGAAATTATTGGACATTCAATATAAATTCTATAGAGTTTCTATAGGCCATTTGTTTCAAAAGTTTATAGAAAATTCTATAGAATTTTTTTCTGGGAAGACTTAAAACCCAGAGGTTAGCTAACTTAAATACCAAAATACTTTCAATCCGTATCTTCAATCGCATCAGTATATAAACTCATATCGTACCAAAAATCGATCCATGATATTAAGGTGCTTGATTTTTATTTCAAAATATGCTTATACAAGCGTATTTTTAAATTTTTACGTTGCTTTAGACACTTTTTTCTATTAAGATTCTTAATGGTGCTTATTTGATGCATAAAAATTATTTCTTTCAGCTGTATTTCATAACTATATAGCTTTTTAAACGTTTTTTATTTTTTTGTAAAAAAAAAAAATAATTAAAATAACCGCTATAATGGTCGAGTAATCGGATTTAAGCTGATTTTTCTTGAATTAAAAATAAAAGGGCACAAAAAAATCTAAAAATCTAAAATAATCAAATTATTTGAAAACTACTTTAACTTAAAAAAATGATCGCGTTAATATATATATATATATATATATATATATATATATATATATATATATATATATATATATATATATATATATATATATATATATATATATATATATATATATATATATATATATATATATATATATATATATATATATATATATATATATCATATATATATATATATATATATATATATATATATATATATATATATATATATATATATATATATATATATATATATATATATATATATATGCTAGTTACGCGGGTTCGCACTATTCCCGACGGTATTAACAAGTTAATGGTTTAGAAGAAATGGTCTTTTTTTTTTAACTATTTTTTTAACTCACCACTGAATAAAAACTTTTCTAAAATAAAACAAAATATTACATATATAATTCTTAGATTTCAACTGAAAATTAAAAAAATTTGATCATTAACTTCAGCTACTGCCACAGCTTGGGCCAACGTCTAATCAACGTCGGTAGCGTTGGGCCAGTGTTGTTTGGATGCTAGCTCTATGTATGTGGGCTAGTTATTTATTTTGCAAAAAAAAATTGCATACTTTTAGTTTGTCATTATTTTGCATTTTGTATTATTTGAGACCAATAATTTGTATTATAATTTAATATATTTGGTCACCTTTTTATGCATTATAATTCAGCAGATCTTGCCATCAATTTTGGTTTAGAAAATATAGATGATTAAAAAATAATTTAAATCTCGTAAATCTCGTAATATTTAAAGTATTTAAAAATACTTTAAATTGTTTCAACTTTATTTTATAACGTCCTTTTAACTAGCAAATTGTTTTGTAAAAGTGTCATGATTTTCCAACAATTTTCGGTTTTAGAATATTTTTTTATTGTTGTTTTATCTTGTGTTGAAAAAGCAGAAGATGGTGTAAAGTTTTTTCCAAACACAATTGCAGACTGAACAAACTTCAAACGTCAAGTATAATATTTATATTTAGCATGAATTTTTTTTGTAAATTGTGCCCATGGCTGCACCTGGGTTATAAACATTGCACTTCTTCTGAACGACTATGACTTACATGCTCAAATCAGTCATTTAATCAGCTGTTTAATAAACAAAATCAATGAGTACATGTACAAACATTTAGTTTAGCATGAGTTCAAGTAACTCACGTTCAACTAGATGGTTTTTTTAAATCAAAAGAAACACAAGCTAAAATATTTTTTTATGTATACTTATTGATAGAGAATTATTTAAATTTGAATGAATTTAAAAGTTATTTGTTTTGCTGCTGGCTTTGTAGCCTTAGCTAGTTGTTTACCAGAATGGGGAGGAGGTGGCTGGGGAGGTGGTGGTGATAGCGGTAGAAATCATTGGGGAGGTAATCGTTTCGAAGGCGGTGGTCATGGTGAACACGAAGGACCACAAGGACATCACGGTGGAGGCGGATATGGTGGTGGTGGATTTGGAGGAGGCGGATATGGTGGAGGCGGATATGGTGGAGGCGGATATGGTGGTGGTGGTGGTGGTGGACATCACGGTGGTTACGATGATGGAGAACATGATCATCATCATGGACATGGTGGCCACGGTGGAGAAGGCGGAGATCATGGATACGGTGGAGGCGATTATTAATAGAAGATCACTTAAAGAAAACAAAAACGAAAAAAGAGTACCATCCAAAGAATGCATTTGTTAAATAGCAACATACCATGTATTCCAACTACAAACAAAGATCGAAAACATTCAAAGAACTAGTTTATATAATTTAATTGTGTACAAATAGCTGTTATTTTTTTGGTAAAGAAAACTGAAAGAAAAAGCTTTTTGTTGTATTAAAACGGTAATTTTAATGCAAATAAATAAAATTTTAAAAATAGTATAATTACAGGGACTGGATCCATTTCACTTTCTAATCCCAAAGTCCAAATTTAAATCTGTTTATTTTTTGACAAATCCACGAGCGTTAACCCGTTTAATATATTCGAAAACGAAAAAAAAAAGAAAAAGATTCTGTTTACTTTTCATTTAGTTTATTTTGAGTGTTTATATTTGGATCCAATCCCCTAAAAAAGAGAGATTTATTACGATTGCAATATTATTGATTATTTAAGACAAATTTAAATGTTTTAATAGGCAGGTGTTTAGTTAAGTTGAATTCATGTTTTTAAAAAATATTTTTCTATTTAAAATTAAATTCTGTTTAATGATGTTACATTTTTATTTAAATGTCTACATATAACATATGATAATTTTTAATGTACTTTTACTATTTTTTACGTAAAAAATACAACAAAGTAAATATAATATATGAAAAATAATATATATATAAAAATAATATATGAAAAGTAAGATATGAAAAATAATATATGAAAAGTAAGATATGAAAAATAATATATATATATAAATAATATATGAAAAGTAAGATATGAAAAATAATATATGAAAAGTAAGATATGAAAAATAATATATATATATAAATAATATATGAAAAGTAAGATATGAAAAATAATATATATATATAAATAATATATGAAAAGTAAGATATGAAAAATAATAAGAGTAAGAATCTCAAAAGTTAAACTTGAGAAAAACACCGAACGAATATTTGGTCCGGAAAAAACATCTTTTGAAAGATCAAAACAAGTTCAGGACATTCAAAATATTGACTGAAAGCCCGATATAAAACATTTATACAATGAATTTATATATATATATATATATATATATATATATATATATATATATATATATATATATATATATATATATATATATATATATATATATATATATATATATATATATTCATTGTATAAATGTTTTATTTCGGGATTTCAGTCAATATTTTGTGTATATAAATATATATATATATATATATATATATATATATATTGTTTTTTAAAATTTCATTACATTATCAATGAAGGACCTGTTTTTTTTTTAGGTACTTTTTTTTCCTTTGGCACCCTCTTTAACGAATAATTTTAAATGTATTATACAAAATAGAGTACTCAATATATATTTTTGTATAAATGGTTTAAATATTTAAGTTAGTAACTAAAACTTTTCGAATTTTTTAATTACAAGTTTAAATGTTTTGAAATTTAAAAAAGTTTTAATTTTTCTAATTTCAAAAAACAAATTTTCTAAACATGGTTTTTAAAGTTTTTTACACCACAAGAATTCATGTGATTTTTACGGTAAACTACTTAAAAGCACTGAAGCATGAAACAATCTTTATTCCACATTTCAAAGTTTAATGTAATAACATTAAACTTTAAAGTTTGAATAAAGATTATGCATTCTAAAATCCAGTAGAATGCATTCTAACACCAGTGCGATGTCTGTCCACTTTCTCGATGTTACGTTTCTTGACTCGACTACTTCTGACAGTTTTCTATGTTACGTTTCTTAGCTTGACTACTTCTGACTTTTACTTTTATTTAATTCTTCCTTAAACTTACTTACTCTTGGTTTGTCTAAGCTAGTTATGATGTTCTTTAGTAAGACGAATTTGTCTTCACGTACCTTGGTATGTGGCCTTTATATGGCAATTAACCAGAGGTAAATAAACGATAATACTTCAAATATGAATGCAATATTATTATTTAATATTACATCTAGTGCAATGTCTGTTCGCTATTCTCTATACTATTTTTCTGACTCAACTACTTCTGTTTTTTACATTTATTTACTTTTATTATTCCTTAAATTTACTTACTCTTGGTTCGTCAAAAAGGGTTATGGTGTTCTTAAGTAAGCTGAACTTGTCTTTACGGACCTTGGTATGTGGTCTCTATATGACAATTAGCTGGAGAAGGATAAACCGCAATAGGGATCGTCCGTAAATTACGCAACGCTAAATTTATTTAAAAGACAGAAGTAGGAGTTCTTAAGTTCTTTTATGGATAATCAACCAAAACTAAACGAAAAAGTATCGACTTCTAAACCAACGTTTTGTCTTAACATCGTTTTGAAGTTTACTTGGGTAATTATTCTTGAAGTATCAACTTCAGGTTTTCATATATCTTTTAAAATAAAAACATCTAGTTATGGTTACTAACTGAGACGCTTATCTACTGTACTAAAGGCTAAATTTTTATGTGTAATTATTTCAGGACCGGCGCGAGTAAGTGTCACGTCGGAAAGGGGATTGGGGTCCCATTTCCACTTTGACAACTAAAAAAAAAGAGAAGGTCATTGGTTTTTAAAATTTGCCGGCTGCTTAGTCGACATTTGTAAACTGACTTTTAAATTTACGGGCTAACTTATCTTAAGGGATTAACTTATCATTTGCTGACTGACTTGTCTAAAAAATATGCCGACTAAATAAACGAAAAAAACATTGATTAAGGGGGGGGGGAGAGGGGTGTCGCACCCTCCCTTCGCGCCGTCCTTTATAATATTACTCATTAATGTGTGTTATAATATTACTGGTATTTTACCATAATATAATGTAATACAGTTTTTGTGTGTTATATTAAATACTACGTTTTATGCGCAATATTAAATACTAATATTAAATACGACTTTTAGTGATATTACTAATATAAAAAAAGAGCATTTAAATAAAAGTGAAATTGTTTTTTTAGTAATTTTTAATAACTTAGTAATAACTAAGAAGGAAAAAAAATCCAATCTTGAATATTAGTTAGAGAGCCCTTCTTATTTAGAATTAAAAATAATATGGTCCTAGTTACATAAAAATATTATAATGATCGTATTTTTATAATACGAATAGGAATGTACGTTTATGGCGATTTTAAATTAAAAATCTGTGACTCTTTTTTGTTTTAATGTCTGTGTTGTAAAGATGAATTTGTAATGTATTTATTTATAATTTTATATCAACTTTGATTTTTTCTTAAAGTAGAGTTTGTAGTAACTATTGTTTCTATATTTACTTTATCGGTATTAAAAACTGCGATCATGTTTTGAAGTGCATTAGTATCAAAAACATGTTAAAATAATTTTCTAACATATTCATTAAATTTTCTACGTCCATTTTAATGCATTTGCCAAATTTCATAGAAAAACAACAATGCTCCCATAGTCTGATTTCTAACGCAGTGAAGGTACCTAAATTTCATCTTGTCATTTTATTTATTATCTATCAAGTTGTTATATATAACTTGATATATAATGATAATTATTTAAAATAATAATAGGTTGTTTTTAATCGAGACAATAAAATCATTAATAATGCTGTTTTTCAGTTCTAAAATATTTAAAATTATGAATGTGGTTTAAAAAAATATTTTAGGTATAAAATAAATCTTGTAGATATTAAGTATCTCAAGTTACATAATAAGTGTTTTTAGTTGCCATATTATTATTTTTTATTTACCAGATTAATTATTTTTTATTGCCAGAAAAAAATATCCCCATTAATTATTTGAATATCCACAATATTAATTTCCCAATAATTTTGAACTTTGATCAAGTTATAAATTGATGTCATTTTTTATCTAGAACACAAAAATACTTTTATCATCCGAGCATTACGGAATTTTATTGTAAGACTGTTGCTAATGGTTTCTGGATAGCAAAATCAACTTATGTAAAAGTTGTACGAAAAAATATTTCGTTATTTCTAAAAGAAACCACTGGATAATGTGTATACCTAGTGGAAACGGATGTAAAAAAGACGTCTTTTAAACGTCTTATAACGTTTTGGACGTCTTTTGAACGGTCCGGTGCCCACTGGGTAAGATATTAATAAGTTTCAGTTGTAAACTTTTATAAATAAACCTAGACTTAAAATATACTTTTTAAATATCACTCAATAAATAAGAATTATATAATAAGAATAATGAAGATAACTCAGCGTAGTTAAGGAGAGATCCGAACGATTTTCATTTCTTAAAAACAAAAGTTTACATTTTTAAACTTTAATTTTTCCGCTTATTTTCGACTATTACTATTATATATTTTTAAAATGTAGAATTTAATCTTTTTATATATATATATATATATATATATATATATATATATATATATATATATATATATATATATATATATATATATATATATATATATATATATATATATTATTTTAATTATTATTTTTTAACCAAAGCATCAAGCAAAACAAAACTAGCACTAAAATACATAAAACGCGACGCAGCAGCGCACAGTGGTCTGAAAAACTTGATTTTTGGCCAAAATTAAAAAAAAAATTGGTAATTTTTATTATTTTTATTATATTTAAACACCAAATTGTCCAGGCAATTCAAGAATATATAGGTTTCATATTTTTTCTTGAAAGAAAAGTCATTAACCGTATCGAAGCGCGATTAAAAACCGGTAAATTTATTGCAAAAATACAACATTTTTTCATTTCTGTATAAATTTAAAACTATTTACATATATGCATAGATTATTTTTAAACAAATTTTATATTATAGAGTTTAATTTGAAATAATAACAATTTTTTACTATTGTATATTTGCATAAGTTATTTATGTTTGAAACTAGCATAAAATAAAAGTTTTTTTTTTCAATTTCAACTTCTTCCTAAAACTAAAGTCTGCATGCATGGACTTACTAAAACTAAAGTCTGCATGCATGGACTTCCTAAAACTAAAGTCAGCATGCGTGAACTTGATCGATATGATTTCATTAAATCC